GCGGGACACAGCAGCGAGTCTAACGGAGGAACGGAGTGCCGCCAGAATGAACGGCGAACCGTGTCACTGAAGCTCTACAGGTAGTTCGCCACCGTCGGCTACTGAACGCAGCCGGTGTCGTTTCTGGAAGCGTACGTGAATTTCATCGTGATGTTAGGACTATAAATTCATCGTGTGATTCTGCTGTATACTGTGTTTCGGCATATGTTAGCCTTTTAGCGAGATGTTGACAGAAACAAAAAGAAATCTGCCATGAAATTTACCGTCTACACAAACTGCACTAGTGGGGGGGGGGCGTAAACTTACAAAAATTATGCTAGGTGGAAAAACAATGTTATTTCGCTTATGCCCTGCTAAAATGGTCACCAAGCTGCAAATATTGCGTTAGATGAGACTGATTAGTCGCTTCTGACTGATGATGCCACGACGACGCAGATTTGCGTCATGCCATATGCGTCAACAGAGCGAAAGGTACCATGTGTAAATGTGCCTAGTTATGAAAATGAAAAAGACGCACGTTCCAACAGTTAGAAATTATTTTACTTTCCTCCTTCTCATGTCTCTTGAACGCATTTCGGAAATTCGAAGAGGGTTATTTTGTGATCTTGTTTTTCATGCCTTCGCAAATATTCCCTTCACCTACTGCGGCTAATGCTCAGGCCAGCACTTGCTCTCCTTTTTGAATGGCACGAAGAACGTCGATGAATTTTGAGTCTTGTGAAGTATTCAATGAAGTCATAATTGAAATATTGCATGCAGTATGAATGTAACAAGTACATACCGTAAAGTGCTTTGGGCAACTATATCAAGTTGAAGGGGACATTTAGCGTTGTTCGATTCTACCCATGGCTACGCTTATTACCGATATTGTCAGCACTGATCTTCAGAAGAATGAGAAGTTTCCTCGCTTCAGCAAAGAGGTCAGCGGTCTTGCGATCAGCACACCGTAGTATTTCCTTAAAATACAATGCATGACTGCCGACATCGTCTTTTGCGTCTGTCGTTCACAGCAACAACATCGCAGTTCTTCAGAGTTCGGAATTATCATTAATTCTGTTTATCTTTCACATAAGCAGTGTCTACACACTAAAGCTCTCCTCCTGCATAAAGTGCGAGGACAACACTGTTGTCACGTGCCTGATCTCGTTCATTCCCCATCGGTGTGCTCATAGCATGAAATGCAAAGAGATACTTGCATGATCAACATCTCATCTACCGGTTCTCCATCCGTTGAAACGCACGAATCAAGCGTCTGCAGATCATGGACTATCCATATGAATCCATAAGACATTCTCTGCCAAAGCTGGCGGTCCATATCTTAACCTTACCATCGACAACAGCCGTTTCCCGTCCAAACATTTAAACATGGTGGTCGGGAAGTCCCATGAGCCGTGATATTTTTTGCGTTGGTTCCGGTAGGCCAGGTACTCGCAAAATTATGCAAAAGTTTGTTTTCACTAGTGCACCTTCCAATAATAGCTCACGATGATTCAGTGCTGTTTGCAGCGATGCTCAACAGCGATGCCGTCTTATTGAGCCGCTGCATCAAACGAATTTTTCGAATCAACGGCACGCACACAAAACACCTCATGACAAAAACAGTAAAACAGATCGCAATGGCAACAAGATGGTGATGGAAAATTCTCTAGATTCTTGTTCATCCGTTATACGGTAGTCTAGTACTTAGTCGGTCAAGAAGGCTGAACAATTGGCCAAATTTATTTCTCATTCCAACTTGAATTGAAAAGTACGAAAGTCAGTGCAACTGTTTAATCACTCGCTGGCTAGTCAACTTTTCGGCGGATGAGGCAAATCTCCTGTCGCATTTCTTCTGACTGTACAGTTCCTGACTGAACTCCTTTGCTCAATATCCTGCACATTGATTGAAACTGTTCAGGGTTAAGTTTCCGTATGTAAAGCGTGCTGCTGAAAACTAAGTAATAGTTCTAAGCATAAGATAATAAACGGTTAACAGTTACAGTAATGTGGCATGAAGACGGATCTAGTCCATTTTAGTTTTTGATGCCAAATTAAAGCGACTGAGGCACCGCCCCCTTGCTTCTAGTGGCCTAGGGGACCATTTTAGCAGGCTACGACTCCTGATAGATCTAGCTCGATCAGAAACGTCCGGATTTTGTTGAAGAAAACAAATCTTATCGAGCTGGATCCATCGTCTCCAGGGGACATCATTGCATTTGTTTACTCGCTGAGGCAATGATTTTGACGATGAAGCTGTAATGTAACAATAAAGGACTTAAACTCCTGGGATGCTACAACTGCAAACTCTGAACAGAGATACGTTTCTGCTGCTCTGAATTCTTTAGTGTTCTAGACAAGAAAAGTAGTACTGACCTACGGTAGACCTCAATGCGGGAATGGCGTTGTACCTGCCTCTGAAATCCGGCCGTAA